ATCAGTGATTGAAAAAAACAGGCCAGCCGTGGGCGGACCGAGAGGATGCATTGCACCATAATGAAAATGGTGCGAAGCACGGTGTTTGCGTAAGGCCTTCCGCTGATCTTCTGGGGCGATGCGACCGGGTATGCGGCATGTATACTAAATGGAAGCCCAATCAAAGCGAGCGCTGATATACCGTCACCTCTACACATTGTGGCCAAGAAAGAACCTGTATTAAGTGATATTCTAGCTTCGAGTCACCGTTCACTCTGCACCAGGACGCGAAGAACAAGTAACTAGGAGCTCGTGGCAAGCAAAGCGTGATCATAGGCAAAAGCGATGAAGTGAAGGGGTTCCGTGTGCCCATTCCAGGGTACAAGGTCGTGGTCGGAACTCCACATGTCAAAAACATTGAAAACCTAACGAAGAAACAATAAGATCTACAACGGCGAGTGCATCTAAAGGAAGTTAACGAAGTTGCGTGCGACAGTTCGACGCAAAATGAGAAGTGCAATCTACTGTTAAGTATAAGATAAGAAAACCCACTCGAGTGGTGGTGGCTGGAAGCTAGAGGCGCATGTGAAGAAGGCTAATTAAATTAGACAAGCGAAGGTAATGGTACATTAAAAATGGAGGAGATTTTGGATGTGGTGAACATCACTCGCGAGAGCGACCCGAAATCATATGATCAGGCCATAAAGAGCGGCTTAATAGAACATTGGGTGGTAGCGATGGATGAAGAGATGCGAGCTTTGGAAGACAACGATGTGTGGAAGAGGGACAAGCTGCCATTAGGAAGCCATGTTCTACACACCAAATGAGGTTTAAAACCAAGTTGGACGCAGACGGAGAGATTAATCGTTTTAAAGCGAGGCTTGTTGCCTGCGATACCGAGCAGGTCTTTGGTGTCAACATCGGCTTGACGTCTGCCGTGGTGATGAAATTAAGCACGGTCAAGTTTATACTATTAATTTTCCTATGTTGGAAAGTACTAGCAAGACATGGTGACATACCCTCCACCTACATGAAAACAAGTGCAAAGAGGAAAACTGGTAGATTTTTCTTGACCTACTTCAAGGTGTGATTGTACCTGAAGTGACGTCAGAGAAACTTGGAGCTTAAGTCAGCGACAAATTGGCGCATAGACTCAAAAAGTCGCTTTGCGGCCTTGAACAAGCGGGTCTTCTTTCGAGAAAATTGCTGGACACAAAACTAGTCGAGGCTGGGTTTCGTCGAAGCGTGTCCGACGCGTGTTTTTATCTTAGCCGCGACGGAGGTGAGCTAAAAAATCGTCGGGGTATATGTTGATAATTTGTTAGTGACAGCATCAAGTCAGGACAAGGAGAAAGAATTCTTTTACGTTATGAGGGCTCTCTCTAATACGAATTTGGGTCAATTAAAAAAACAAGTTCCTAGGCTTGAGGATGTCTTTGAAGGACTCGATCACTTACGATATTGATCAGACTGCGGCGACCAACAAGATGCTATATTAACATGTTCTGGATGCAGTAAACGGCGTGAAGGCGCCAATCGTGACGAAAGACATGATGAAAAATCAAAATGTGCGTACCTGTCAGCGAAACGGGGCAAGAAAGGCGAGTCTCCTATCCGAGACTTTCAGTCATTAGTCGTTAGATTTTTACAAATTTCCCGGGGTTCGAGGCCCGGATTTAGGTTCGCAGTTTTCCGATCCACAATACGTACGCACTAGCTTACTGTCAGCAACTAGAAGCTGGCAAAACGCGTCGCGAGATACCTGACGACAACAAAATACTTAAACCTCTTAAAGAATTGGGACGAGAAGCATGTTTTCACGGAGACAAGCTGGAGTGACTCAGACTTTGCGGCAGCCAAGTCTGACCGCAAGTCAAAAACAAGTGGAGCACTTACGGTGAGTGTATTTATCGTGTATATAATATGCATGTAGCACACCGGAGTATCCCTTTTCTAACATAGATACCGAATTAAACTCGGCATTGCATGTTAGGCGATAGCTGCTGGGATTCCGAGAATTGCAGAGAAGGAGATTGGACTTCCCGTGATGGAGAAAATGGGCATGTTGATGGATATTCAAGCAGCATACATATTGTTAAAGTCTAAATAAAGCAGGCAATTGCGAAGCACAAGGATGTGCGAATTAAATTAATCTGTGATTATGCTAAAAAGGGTATTCTGTAATCTGGTTAGTGTCGTCGAAGTTTATGAGAGCCGACCTGTTGACAAAGTCACTGCAGGCGTTAAGAGTGGCGGAGCTACGCGAATTGCTCTAACTTGTTTGAATGTATTAGGAGGACTGGTTGAAGCGCGTCGTCCGAGGAGGCTTATTGATGAAGCATCAGTCGTTGCAAATATGTGGCAGTCGGCCGACCACTTTAGTTGAACGACAGTATCTATCCTGGGATAATGTAGTAAAGCCAAAGCGGAAATGGTTGGTGTCGAAGAGATGGAGGTATATTAGCTAATTGGAAAGACAAGGACATTGCTATGTTTGCATTGTCATATCCTGATCTAATAGTAACATCTTCATACTTTTTCTTCAGTGACTGCTGCTATGTTAAGTGTTTTGCAGCTCAAATTAGTTATCCGAACTGAGTTACTTATATCCAGGGCGATGTCCAGAGCTTGCTCCAATATCTTATGTTCACATCCCTTTTTTTACACATGTGCACCCTTTCTGTTAAAACCCGATATCCACATCTTATCACTCGTACTAATCTCTATGGAATTTATCAAAACAGTTAAATTTACTACTAATTACGCACACGATAGACACAACGCTTTCATGGACTTTCACTCATGAGCATATACTCAATAGGTACATAAGGGAACGTTTCTAAGTTTACTGTGTCAACAATCGGACCGCTCACAGTAAAAAGCCTTTTAATTCTAATATACCCTTTTTTCTGACTCCTATGTTATAACGTACATTCGACTGCTAACTCGACAAGCGATTTTGAATTACTAAGAAAGTCTGCAACATTTTTAAATACCGGCAGCTTACCGTTACCGCGGTCGCATTTAAAATCTATCGTCAATCTCGAAACTTTACCCTTTCATCCACAAATTAAAGTGCACCCATCGAACTAAAACGCAATAGTGAAAATGACTATCTTCGCACACCTGCAATGTCTCTTATTGTCTAGATTGTAGTCAAATAGATCTTGGTCGTGCGTGTTTTGGCGTTAGCCGCTGCGAGAGTTGCCCGAGCGTACTAAGATGACGTCGATAGGCGTAATAAGTGCTGAAATGACTATTGTGCAGCCGCTATGTTTGTCCAAATTGTAAAAATTATAACGTCTTACGAAGGATGTAGTTTCGACTAAAGAAGGCGTTCATTGCCCCAGGGGGACCAAAGAGACTTTACAAGCGCACGATGGACTAGCTATAGCAAGGTTGTGGCAAAATGATGATGTTTATAGTCATGTTATAAAAAGGTCGGATCATAGTAGTATTGCACATTGGTACATACTGCTCCTAGTAGACTGCACGGGTTTGACCTCGATAGTATATGTATGTTTTCCTCGCGACCACCCCTTACAATATCACATGAACAGGCAATCATACATATTAGCAAAAAGGTTAATTCGACAGAAAAGGGTGCGAATAAGGTAAGGAGTGGACATAGAGTACCTTAAAAGTGTTTTATGTAGCGAATGAGTATGAGTTATAGGGTGCACTAACTGTAACGGGGTAGCCTGTTACATGGAATTTGTCCTATAGAAGAAAATGGCGATTAGCGTTTTGACGCTGAATATTTCTGAGCAATATCACAAAGTATTGCGATATGGTTGGGATAACCAAAGAGTATACTCATTGGTTGATATTGCGATGATATCAATCTATTCATCACTGCTAGACGCGCGCAATGGGTGGTGAGTCGACGTCATCATACGTTTGGTTATGCTAATAAAGTTAAGTCAGGACAAATAAAGAGACTAGAGATGTAGCACCTTATTATATTAAATTACAGTTTACTTTTACCACGAATAGAAACTTCACCTTAGTCGTTTTACCTTCCTCTGTCTAGTGTCCACACCTAGCAGGGCACTGACATTTGCCGTTGTCAGTGTAGGTCATCTCCGTACTGGTGACCAGTACGTAGTCGTCGGTGCCCCGTTAGACTAACTGGTTTATCCGGAGAAGTGCAAATTTTAGGTTTGACAAAATGATGTAAATATTAGGTTTTGGCGATGAGTATGAATTTAGGGATAAGGGTATAAATGTATCAACTCCCGATATTTTCATGGAAATAACTCAAAGGATAGGTCCTAAATTAGATCAAGTATGCCTGCATGCCATGTTGAGTCTCAGAGCGTCTCCGCAGCGAAATTTGTGTGCACCCGTGAGAATCAGTATAATCTCCTATCAAACATAAACGTACAAAAATTCACAATGGTCGTAACTATTGTACGATGTTAGTTTTTCTCGGCTGAACGTGACCGGTGAAGTGTGGTCGCTTTTGTTTGCTTTTTGGCCCCCATTTAGATCTAGCCGTATATAATGTTGCTAGTGTCCCTTAGAACCACATCGTCGACTTCAGAAGCATCGTTTCTCTATACTAACTGCAGCCGACGACATGTAACTAATCTTTGCCGATAACTTGATTGACTTCCTCAAAACCATGAGCCAATGACATGCGGCCGTACAATTTATCTTGGGTGCCGCAGAACTGCAAAACGTAAGCGGGATAGCGAGTAAAAATATTGCTCGAGTTATCCTCGACTTTTTCGCTGCTATGGCGCACTTTTATAAGTATAACTAAATAACGGATTTTAATTGGACAGAAAGTTAAGTCATACTGAATGTTGTAGACGCTCTAAGCAAATGTCGCCTTATGAACACAGATTTGTTTCAGTCCGTCCCATGCAAGCCGATCGAATGCGGGTTCTATACCTCACTAATGCTGCAACAGCTTTAAGCCGACGACGTGTGGCACATTGAAGTTGCTGACAAGACACGCGGCACATCAATGCCCATTATTTATTCTATTTTTTCCTCGGATTATGAGATACATATCACGGCGTGTCGAGGCGCTGCAGCATATGGTTTTGCTCATCTACCACCAGCGCATCCACGATATCGTCCAGCAACTCGCCGTTCAACATCCGCTCAATCCCAAAGATCGTCACATTCACACGGTGGTCACTCACACGACTCTGCGGAAAGTTGTAGGTGCGCACGCGTTCAGAACGGTCACCTGAGCCTACTTGCAAATTCCGCATGGTCTGACGCTGAGCATCGCGTTTCCGACGAATGCCGTCGAATACACGCGCACGCAATATTTTCATGGCCTTGGCCTTGTTCTGGTGCTGTGACCGCTCGTCCTGCACGGCTGCCACAATACCCGTTGGAATATGCGTAATGCGTACTGCGCTTTCTGTTGTATTGACGTGCTGGCCGCCAGCGCCCGACGCGCGGTAAACATCAATACGAAGGTCTTTCGGATCAATCTCCACCTCGACTTCTTCAGCTTCAGGAAGCACCACGACCGACACAGCGCTAGTATGCACACGCACGTCGTTCACCGGCACACGCTGCACGCGATGGACACCACTTTCAAACTTCATGCGACCGTAGGCACCGCGTCCCGTAAGCAAGCAGACGCACTCTTTGCAGCCACCTAAATCCGTTTCTGATAAGCTCATGATCTCAAACTTCCAGCCTTTGGCCAGAGCCACTTTTTGGTACATTTGTAGTATATCCGAAGCAAATAAACAAGCCTCATCACCACCCGTACCAGCTCGAATCTCCACGATCGAGCTCTTATCATCTGCTGCATCACGCGGTAGCATGAGACGCACTACTTCGCTTTCCATGTCGCTGATCGTCTCCATGATCTCTCGACGCTCGTCTTCTGCCATGCGACGTAACTCCACAGCGTCAACGTCAGCACTGTTCGTCTGCTCAGCAATCACTTCGTCTAGCTCTTGTACGGATTTCTGCTGACTCTGTAAACCACGCACCGCTGCCATCTTGGGCTCTAGCTCCGCCATTTCAATCGACAAAGTCGTAATTGTGTCGGACGAAAAGCTGCCATCGTAACTGTCGTGAACCAAAAATCACAAGATGTGAATGTACCAGATTTAGACAATGTACCATAATACAACGATTATATGGAATGAACTGTAATTAATAAACTACAGAAAAGGATTATCCAGAAATTCAGCAACGTACTGCGATAGTTTGTGCGCGAGTTCGTCATAGCGGCGCTTTACTAACTCCATCTGATTCAAAATTGCTGCAGGCATCGCGAAGCCGCGGCAAAGAGATGGCTTCAGATGCGACGGACGTGGCACTACATGGGATTTTGACTGCTCGAGTCGGTGCAATCGGAGCCTAGAAGATAGCAGGGGCCGCCGCTGGCGACGCAGCCACTGGTTTAGCATGACGTTTTTGTTGTTGCCAGCTTTTTATGATAATGCTGTTTGATAGGTTCGTGATGACTGACAGCTCGATCGTGACTCGATTCGGACTTACTTGAGTAGCTTCGACAGTAATCCTGGGTTATCCAGCTGGTCATTGCGCAGGATCATACCTTGCATTTGACACTCTCACCGGTCGTGAAATAATGCGAGCAGAAACTTGCTAGTGGTCTCGCCGTGCGAACTAGTGAGGATAGGCATGAACTACCGTTTACAAATATAGTGGTGTTCTGATCGTCGTATCGTCGCGGCCAACTTTTACCCTTCTGGAAAGAATATCTACAGAATGCGTATGCTTACAAACGTCAGAACCTGCGCTCGAAACAGTCGAACACGTATCGCTCAAGGCAGGAAATGCTCAAGATTTATTTTAACTGCCTTTTTCCTAGATTCCGCTACTTACCCACGCGTTAAATAAGGGGTATGCTGTGCAACAAAAATTTAGAAATGCGTGCTTAGGACTGCTTCGACGTAAACGACAAAGTGTAGGGCGAGACCTCGCCACCATATCAGAATCTTGTCATTGTGCGATCGCAAATTTTGAAGTAGCTAATAATTTTGATGACTTGCGCTTAGTTATATGATAAGGTTACTTATCAAATCGTCAGCGCATTTTTCAATCAGTTGGCTGTCTATCAGAAAAAGGCCAGTCCAAGGGGCCAAGAATGGCGATGTTCTTTCCGTCCCTTGTCGAAGCAGCTATGAGCACCGTATCAATATTTACGTTTCCCACGTAACTAAAAATTGCACTTCAGCCTCTCTCAGATTTGTGGACCTGCATTTGAGGAACTACTTGCTTATGACCTTGCCATTGCGCAGCCGTAGTTCAACGCTCTCCCATGAGCTTGGCACTGGTTCTATCTCCAGGGCATGAAGCCTAGCGAACCTGTAACCTTATTAATCGGCCACTTTAGATCTATTTTTGGGTAGGATTGCACGAGCAAACGCAGATGATTTTATTTCGAGTAAAGCAAGTGTTCCTGCAATCGCGTAAGACCGTTCAGGAGTTCAGCCACAGAAGTAGCAACCGTTTGCGTATGTAAAGTGCAACTTGCTGCAGAAAACCTATTGCGGACACAAACGTCTTGGTCAGACTGGCAATTGTTTTTAAGCCGACGTACATGACAAGTAGTCACTTTCGGTGGTCGTATATAATATCGAAGTTCAAAGTATAGCTTCACCTTTATCATCGCACCATCGAGCAAGGCGCTTCGAACACGGACATTGCGTATCGTGCAGTTGAAGCATAATAAATTGCGTACATGCAAGTCTAGCAATTGCGATTATTATTTGGCAGTGACCTAACGAGTCATATGACAACAGCTGGTTTGTGCTTCGCACGGACAGTCTCCCTATAATTTTTACTGAAGGTAACGAAATTATAGTCAGGGAGCATTGTCGAGTACGACTGTGCCACCATTTATTTTTAACTCTCCAGTGCCTCAACCAATTGTCGAAGGATTTCTATCACCTCAGCATTGTTCCAAACACACATTTAAGCCAAGTTTCTGCCTCAATCTCTTCAATTATTTCAGTCGCACTTGTCCCCGTCATTCAGTGTGAGTCTGTCCTGATCAGCCCCGCCCTTGGGCCCACATAGAGCATTGAGCACGTCGCAAATCGCATGTCCACGTCGGCACAATGCGCTTCGTCCCGTCCCTTGCAATCAACTTGTCGCCGAGGACACGCGCGTTTTCCAGCTCGTCTGCACGACAGTCGCACCTTGTAGTGATCAACGCCGGTAGCTCCTCGCTCAAGTACTCGCTGTTCGGTCTCAAGGCCGACGGCGTGGATGCCGCCGTGTTCACGGGCCTCGTGGAGCTGTCCACCGCCAACAGCAGACACGGCCGAATCGTGCACAAGGCGCTGACAAGCGGCGAGAAAGAGGAGATTGAGATGCCGCTGGACACGCACCGCACGGCGCTCGAGACGGTCGTGGACAAGTTCTTTGGCTCGGACCTCAGCAGTATCAAGGCTGTTGGCCACCGCGTGGTACACGGCGGGGAAGCTTTCAGTCGCGCCTCTCTCGTAGACGATCGGGTGATTGACGCTATTAAGCAGAACACAAAGTTGGCCCCGCTCCACAACCCGGGCAATCTCCTGGGCATTGAGGTGGCGACGGAGGTCTTTGGTCCGTGCCCGCAAGTTGTGGTGTTCGACACGGCCTTCCACGCGACAATGCCGCCAAAGGCCTATACTTATGGTCTCCCGATGAAGCTCTATGAGGACTTTGGCGTGCGTCGCTATGGATTTCATGGGACAAGCCACCAGTATGTCACCAAGAAGGCGGCAGCCCTTCTTGGCAAAGCAGTTGAAGAGTGCAACTTTATCACGTGCCACTTGGGCAATGGGTCAAGTATTGCTGCAATTCGAAACGGTCAGTGTATCGACACGAGCATGGGCATGACCCCTCTCGAAGGTCTTGTCATGGGTACTCGCTGCGGTGACGTTGATCCTGCTCTGCACGCTTTTCTCTGCAAGGAGCTCGACATGACCATCCAGGAGGTCAACACGATGCTCAACAAGAAGAGCGGGTTGCTCGGCATCTGCGGCGAAAGTGACATCCGTGCCATTCAAGACCGCGTGCGTATCGGCAGTGACCAGGCTGCTTCTCTAGCGCTAGATGTGTTCGCTCATCGTGTGCGTAAGTTTGTTGGCGCCTACGCACTTGAACTTGGTGGTGATGTCGACGCTCTCATCTTTACAGCTGGCATTGGTGAAAACTCGGCTTCGATCCGTGAGCGCGTGTGTCACGATCTGGGGTTCCTCGGCATCGAAATTAACGGGGCTAAAAATGCCGCGTCGACGATGGGTTCAGGTCCCGTTGAGATCCAGGCTGACAACGCGAAAACCAAGGTGATGGTTGTCAACACGGACGAAGAGCGTAGCATCGCTGAACAGACGTACGAGATTACATTGGAGCAGTTCGATGCGCTTGCCAACTGATTGGGAAGTAGCTATTCTTCTTTTTGCTGACATCTACATGATTGCTTACATACTTTTAATCGAAGTCAAGAAGAGGATGGAGATGTACAAAATTGCTAGTGCAAGACCTGAGTAAGCCATATCTTTTATGTTCGTCACTTTTTAGTGTTGCATAAGTCAAGCTGCTTATCGTCTGACGCGGCACTCAATGTCAGAATCAAAGTCTAAGCAGCGTTAACCGTCAGGTTTCTGGATGTGACTTGCAAGTTCTGTGGCGCTAATACTTGTTATGCACCAAAACCCTACGTTGCACTTTGGGGCTTTTCCATTTGTAGAGCGTCACAACCAACTATCTGTCACCTTTTCAGTGTGGGCGGATAGGGCAACAGCCAATAGTATGGTTTTCTCGACTTTGTTCTTGGTATGTCTGGCGATCTATAATCACACCGCTCTCCGCGGGTATAACTTTGAGTGGGGACATCTCGCATTAAACTTCGTAATTTCTATCGGTTTCATTTCGATACTAGTTCAGACCGATCATTTACTATCCCTGTCGCTTTTGGCCGACTAATTACTGTTTTTCCTTTTCTTTACAGCTGTTACGGTGACTAACATTCCTTACAAGGTAGAGGAACCTGTCTAAGTAATGTGACCCGGCCAAAGAAAATTCATCAGCATAAGAGGAAAGAACCATGCAGGAGGGTTAGCCGCTGACTACAGGTCTGCGTAACGATGTACGATTTGAAGCAGCAGTTGACAAAAGAGGTCTGCGTACACGATGTACGATTTATAGCAGCAGTTGGCGAGGGACATGTCGTGTCAGTGAAAGTTTCAAATGTGTATTCGTAGACAGATTCTTCCTTCCTGTCCACAATATCTTCATCGCCGTAACCTCCTCTGGCGCATTGAACTGAGATATATGTATAAGTTACCTGAAAAGAAGTATGAGCGCCTCCTTATTTACACATCCGGCACCGTAGAGCTCGAATTAAAGCTCTGTTTTATTCAGGTCTTAATATTAATCGCTCCTATTCTACATACCCATGCTACCGATTTCCATGTGCTTCTGGGACATTGAATTCTTCACAGTCCAGCGTGTTGATCGACACCGCTGATAGATGTCTAGGTGCGAGTGCCAGCTTCTGGGTATTCAGCGTTAATCTGGTTCTGCACTGTGTTGCTTTGTAAAATTTTGATTCGTTTCGTCTTTTCATAATTTGATATGCCGAGGCGTTTACGGCTCTTGGTGTGCATCGAGACAAGACATTCCGCATCCTGCAACAGCTTTTTAGTGAAGGAGTCAAGTTTCAAGCTCCGGCACAGCAGACTTCCGACCTCCCGGAAATTAATTGCTTCTATGTAACGGGGTGCCTCCGTTACATGATATTTTACACGAGGTAAATATCAAGTACAGATATTAAGTTAAGACAAACAGAATATTCTCACAAAATTGGCTTAATAAGTAATACTGTGTTGCTGAAATAATACACTGCTTATTGGTTGACATAGATTAGCGATATCAACCGATTAAGTCAAGCCTCGACAGAAGAACTCAATGAGTGGTGAGCGGGTAGTTACGATACATGTTTGCATTTAGAAAAAATCAGAGGAAGATTAAATCGGATTTATTGACAGGAGATTAAATATGCTGAATACAGTTTTAATTTTACACTTTTCAAGTGTCGAAACCTTCCTCTATACGATGCCTGTACGTGAAGTCTCGAGGTACCACCTTATTCTGTGTTCATTGTAAGTACCTTGTAAAATGATAGTACATGCGACCGGTGCCCCGTTTCATTCTGGATGGCTCAAAAAGCTCATACTGAATTGTCATCTGCGGCAAAAGTCCCTCTTGTAACGGGGAAATTCAATATGGACAATTCAGTAAAAAACATCATTGAATTGCACTAACCCTTTTATCATTTCTCGTTATAGAATTCCACGCTGATCGGAGGAAAGAAACGCTTGAACAGTCTCACTCCTACAGTGCATGCACGCCGCACCCCTGTAGGAGACATTCCTATTATTTAAAAAATAAAAGCCGATACCCAGCACACGGTGTGGTGGTCCTCAATACAAGTATTTTAGCACTTGAGTAACGCATTTGAGAGCGTACCTCGCCCTGCGTGTGTCTCTTTTGTTATCTTGCTAATTTAAAAAGGATCAACTTTGAGAAGCTAGGACCTGGCGGAGGAGAGAACGTCGGTCTCACCCGTGCTAAAATGAGACGGACCCGACGCATCCAGGATGCACAGATTGTTCCAAAATGTAGGTGGTGCGGATAAAAGCAAGCCAAGGTGTCTTACTTGAGTAATTTGAGTGAAGCGTATAATCATATAAGGCGCTAAGCAACAAATTTTAATGGATTTGAGATGGATCTGAATTGCATTTAACCACGAAGCTACCTTACGGTGATATTGGAGGATTACTGATGGGTTTACATTGGTGCCCGCACCGGCATTCCGTCCGTTTTTTTCTCCTCTGCAAGTATCTCACGGACTGTGGTCAAATTTCAAATTTAACGTATAATTTTTATGGTCTACTGCATCACATATTGAAGGGCCCGAAGCTTCCGAACTGCGTCGCCAGCAAGTTTGACTGATGAGTTAGGCAACAACAAGCACTGTCCATCTCCTGGAAATGAACAAAGACGTATTGAAAACTAGCGCTTCCAAATGCATGCAGCTCAAAATTGCCAGCCTAAATCCTTTATAAAGTGACAAAACTTCCAGTATGGTCCACAACTTTCTGTTTCGATGACATGGGGTCTCAATTCAATATCCTCTATCAGGATCCGGAGAACAGCCTTGTACCATTGCAAGACTTAGTACCAGTATGTGTGACGGATAGTGCATAAAAATATTAAAGGTGTTTCTTCCTGTCGCTTTTCATGAGCCGCGGCGCAGATTTCGGAATGAATACAATCATCTTCCTATATTTCAAGCTAGTCAAATCATGGAAGTTTTATAACTGCTTTTTGTCACATTCTTTTAGCCTTCGGAAATCATCGTGACACATGGCGTATTCTGAAATATTCCAGAAAAACCGTAATTCAAGAGTATGCGATGTTTTTTCAGGTCGCTAGTGGGAGATCAGATATCTACTGGCGACATTCGATATATTGGTGGTTTCTGGAGGATGCAAACTGGTTGTCGGTGCCACAGGTCGTTGAATTTTAAACTAAATGTATACGAGAGGGAAAAGAAATGAAGGGTTTATAAGACCCTGGCGCGCTGACTTTAATGCTAAAAGTGCGGCCTAACGGGAACTTTCTTGGAGTACCTTCCATCCTGCGCATCTGCATACCGTGAAACATGCTTTCTTTCCGACAGGTTGCCGAAAAGTTCTCGGCCTTGGGCTCCGCCTCATTTGGAGCATCTGTGCACGACTGTGCACAAATTTCGGTAGAGAAATTGCACTTTATGACACATTAACGCAGAATAACAGATCAATGTGTACATCTATGTTCTATGCTCGATGCAGCGACGGCCAAGGGTAAAAGGCCCGTCAGCTACCGGTCGGAAATAGAGCATGTTTTACGGTACGCAGATGCGTAGGATGATAGGACCTCCAAGTATTTCCCCTTAGGTCACACTTTTCAGCATAAAATTCAGCGTGCATAAGTCTCATTAGACCTTCATTATGATGTCAAATCGAGGTGCTACTAACTTGCACTGAGAGAGTTAAGTGTCTATGATCCATTTTTGAATAAATTAGAAAGGCAATACAATGCATACTTACTGTCTACCTACGGTGCGAGAATGTCGAATCCCCTGAAAGATCAAGCCTTCCCAAATGGTTCCCTCTGTTCTCACTTCATCGCTAGTGGGGAATCACGTGCAAAACTAGGTGGGTAAGATGGATAAGCGCTATGTGCCACCGCGACAAGTGACCTTGTTTTTAGTATTAGAAGAGACTATTGTGTTTGCATTATTGTTATGATCAATCACTTAATGCCGTCGGTTGCACTTGTTTTGTCGACGGTGTTAATGAACAAGTTCATCCTCTTTTTTTTTAATTTTGGACGAGGAAAATTAACAGCGTTAGCTTGTAGCTTTGATGCACAACAATTTATCAGTAGTGTCATATTTTGGTACATTCATTCCATGGAAAACTCATAGGCTTGGTGGAAATAAGTACTATGAATATGACAAGGTATGAGTTACGTGCTGTTTCGATTTTGTTTTGCGAAAATGGAAAAGTAGCAAACTAGTCGTATCCCTATTATTTCGTAAGCCGTGTCCTGATATTTTTACCCGTACAGTGCCAAGAGCATAAATACTAGACAAAGCGTTCAGGCAAATTAGCCTTTCGGGAAATTGAACACCAGATCCCCCAGAACGATCTCTCTATCATACATTAGTAGATCACTGATCTCGAATCTTTGACAAATAACAAAGTTTCTGCCGTGGGCCCGAAAGGTCCTCATAATCCAAAGCCCAGTTGTTACCTGTCAACTTGGGTGCTTTAATGCCAAATAAGCATGTATTTATATCCGGATAAATCATCGATGCCAAGGCCAGGTATTTTATGGACGCCTTAGCCTACCTGATGACACATTCAAGCTCTCCTTTGGATATTACTAACACCTTAAGCAGTTCAAAAAGTAGAAAGGTGTTAGAGCATCTTTGCCTGGACTTTGGGCTGTAGCTGCTTGTCTAGAGCCTTAATGTGTTTTCAACATGAAAAAATATGTGTGAGGATACAGAAATGTTAAAGGCTGAAGTTATAATAAAACTGATTTGGGCATTTTTACGACATGATAAATAGAAGAAAATTCCACTAAAACAAATTTGAGGCTCATAAGAAAAAAACTGAACTAATAATTAGAAAAAAATGGGTGGAATTTTGCAGCTCAAAGCGTTTTAATTCCTTTTTTACTTAAATACGGACCTCTTTTAGCTCCACAGACAACAAGAGGAGCTTCAGATGTCCGGTCGGATGACTGATATCACTGAGAGAACCATTATTTCCTCTTTTTTAACAAGTTCACTACACGTAGACACTTAGTCCCCTTCAAT